ATAATTGTAGATTTGTGTAAATCCTTGTGTAACCATATTTGCTGTTGTTGTCAATTTTTTGTTTTGTTTGTGTCTTTAATGTTTATGAACTTAAAAACAAAATTCGAATACAAAATGTAATTATACTGACGGCTTAAAATAAAAAAAAGATATAATATATAAACATAGCTATTACTTCATTAGTTTATAAAAAATTCCATTTGTTAACTTAAAGATTATGTTACACAAAAATATGCAAATACATTGAAAATGAAATTAAAAAAAATGCAAAAAAAAAAAAAATTTTATAAATAGGTGACATTGCTATCAATATGTATGCAATTAAATAAAACCCTTGGTTGAGTTATTTGTTTAAGTGCAAAAAAATGTAAAAGAAACATATTTCATTGCTTCTTGATTAATTGCTTTTTTGCTTTTCACTTTTTAACTGGAAGTTAGTGTTACGTAAATTCGCATAGAACTATTTTCACAATTTCATCAAAYATACGCTATATATGTATGTATATATATATACATATAATTTCACTGATTTTTGACACCTAAATTAATTCGCTAATTGTGCGAATAACACAATTTATGTTAGTATGCATTACATAACTTTTCACTTCAATTCATAACTTTTATAATGATTACTTCTATTATTACCCAGCTCTGTTTGCTCAATACTTTGTTATTTGAGAACCTATTTTTTACACTTTTAATAAATAATTTGATTGGAGCAAGTATACCTAAACATTTCTTTATACTAAATGCTCTACGCCCTTTTCTTATTCAACCGTATTTTGTTTTGTTTTTGTTTTTTAAGTGTGTGTTGTGACTACGGACACCTGACAGTAGGGACATTCCGTCACCGAACARGCGCAAGAATCACATAGTATGAAATGATTACATGGCTCTAAGGTGACCGTACGATTGTTCTCCTCACATTTCATGCACTTCTTGGCGTTCTCYAAGTATAAAACCTTCTCTACCTCCTCTAAATCTGTGCGTAATTTTGACTGTAAACGAGATGTCAACATAAATAAAATGCATTTATGGTGTAATAATTTACAAATAATTTTTTTTTATCGTAGTAAATAATACCTGCAGTTGTTTTAGCTTTTGTATCGATAAATTGCGCAGCTCGGTAGACAAGTGAAGCTGCGTTTGCGCCAAATCATAACGATCCTTCCACTCAATGGCATCCTGCTTGGCTTTGTCACGTTGCAATTCCGTTAAATTTAACTGTGAAATGGCAATAAAAATTGATGCAAGTTAGTATAAATAAAAATGTGATGATATATGGTATGTATAGTACATCAAAAAAGTATGTTACTAATGATAAGACAAATTTATAGCATCACAGAAAAAAAATAAATTTAAAATAAAAATAAAATTGGATTAAAAGTTAAATTCTCAATTTTTTAGTACTCATTTTGAGACCGAAATTGATAGTTTAGTTTGTAATCAAAAATTTTTTTTTGGAGTTTTTAATTTAAACATTGGCGTAACAAAAAAAAAAAAAAAAAAAAAAAAAAAAAACATGTTTTTCTATTAAAAGCATAAAAAGGAAGGAGTAATATATTTCTGACTGAAGCACTATAATTAAAAGCAATTAAATATAAATAAGACAAAAAAGGTAAACTATATTTTTAAAAGATATCCAAACTAATAAATTCGAATAAAAATTATTTTTCTTTTTTTAATTTTAATCTATAAGTTCGTAATCACTTTCTTTTTTTATACTTCAATCCGGTATTTGGGATAGTTTTTTTTATTTTTCATTCCAATATTTAGCATTTTTTCCATAATAATATACCAGATACCATACCGGATATTTGGCATAAAACTTTGTTTTCATTCAGTTATTTGAGATAAAATGTTTTTTTGGAATTAAAACTTAACTAATTATTTTTAATTAAGAATTATAGGGATTAAAAATTAAAAACAAAAAAATAAAAATCAATAATTTTTTAAAAGCACTATTTGCAAGCCTGATTGAAACATTTCTTGTATTAATTTATTAAGCCGCCAAGATATATGAAAAAATATTGTATTCACTAAGCTACCAAAATTTATATACTAATTAGATAAAAATTACCTTTCTAGCTGTCTCATCAATTCGATTCGTTAGCTTTACAATTTGTGAATTTTTCGTCATTAATTCTGTTGATAAACGATTAACATCGGAGTTATTTTGATTTTGTAGTGATTGTAGTGAGAATGCATTTTTAGTGGTTGACAAAGTGTTATCGAACAACATATTCCCAACAGAACTGCTGTTGATGTCATCACGTATTGAGTTTAATTCGGAAATTCTACAGTGTAAAAATTATTATTAAATGTAAAGTTAACATACATGCGGTTACTTTTAACTCGGTATTTACCTAACGGAGGGACTTATTGATAAACCATCAGCAAACCCTGGAGATATGATGCGCGATGGGAAAAACAAGCTGCTACYGTCATTTTGCGTGGCCGCTGAGAGTGAATTACTTAGTTTATTTGTATTGGAACCGCTATAGTTAAATGCATCTGATACGCTAAATAGGTTGCTATGACTGGTTGGGCTGTATGTTAGCGAGTTGCTTGGAATGTTGACGGAAAATCCGGCAGAATTGTAATCTATATATATAACAAAGTTTTTAGTTTTGCATCATGTTCTCTTTGAGGTTTGCGATAAACTTACACTCACCGTTCATGGAGTTATTTAGTGTAGAATTAGGAATGTTAATTGGCGCCGAGGAACGTGATAATAAACTTGAGTTGGCCAAACTGGCAGAGAGCGCATTTTCACGCAATTCATCCATAGGGCAAGCTGRCAGTAATAGTAACGAACAAAGAATGTAAATATAAATGTAAAAAAATAATTAAACAGGTGTTTACACTTACGTTCCACATGTGCAAAAGCACAAAAGACGCTACGTGGACAGTAGCCAGCTTGTTGTACATCATTACATTTAGTTGACTTGTAAATTTCCGGATGAAATTGTTGTTCGGTACGTGTGTGACAATATTGGCAATTGTCGCCAGCCTCACAATTACCAGGCTCACCCCACTCCTCACCATGCTTTACATTGGGACATGGTGTGGATCTGTAAAATTGAAAATAGTGCATTAATAAATGCTTCCATCTATATTCACTAATAATTCAATTTAATTCACCTATATTTAAATTTGCGTGGACTTCGTCGTTTGTCCTTACTGTTGTGATACTGTGGACAAGCGTAACCTTGACGGCAAAGTCGCGGTGGACGTTTACATGGTTCTGTCTTGTAATTTGTCAAAACATAATTGGTATCCTGCCATTTGGGATCCTCATTCATAAGATTGCGTTCTTTATCCAGCGCATTTTGTGCATTTGTACCGTCGAGAGCCAGCTCTGCATTCTGCAATGATTCCAATTCCTTAATATCATATACCGGTGGACGTTGATCCTGTATGCCATGCGCAAAGGCACAATGATGCCCATTTTTGACACAATAACCACGACTATCGGTGTCATGGACACACATACAGGTTTTGTAGTAACGCAGATGGTAGCGCCTTTCAGTATCACCCGCGGTGCGGTGAAGAAATGGACAGCTGAAATGACAATTTAAATATTTAGAAACTATTTGCAATTTCTTATAAACATAAATATTTATTATAATTGCTTATTTATAAACATACATAATAATAAATGGAGCTTAGAAAAAGATAAATAAAATAAAGGAATTAACTGGAAATGATAACTTTATAATTTATTCACTTATTCTCATATGTATACGAATAATATTTACATATATACACATACACAATGTAACATAACACCTCCCTAGCGTACGCCTATGCGTATATTTATTTACATTTTGAAAAGGTATCAAGTTTGTTTCTGTCGAAAATAAGGGAATGTCCACAATAAACATAAAAGCGAAAGCGTGAGACAAAGACAAAAAATGTGTGTTGATACAAAAGTCCGTGGAACTGTAGTAAAACATAAGCGAATTTGCATCAAAAACACAAAATAGAGATAAACACACAACAAAAATAAAACAAAAACAAAGAAAGCAAACATAAAAGAAATGGCTGATAATGACGAAAGCACGTAAGCAAAAAAGACAAATGTTAGGGATCTGTATAAAGCCAAAAGGTGTAGGAAATAATGGAAACGCAATTTCTCTAACTGACTGTAGATGGGTGGTGGTGAAGGATATTAGCGTATGTTGCACAGACTAAACAATGGTTTCTGATTGCAGAGCTATGCTCCAAAAAAAAAATCATAATTGGAAGATACTTACTCGTCACCATCGGGGCATATGCCTGTAGTTTCATCGTATTTGGTGCAATAATTATCCGCACTATAATTGAATGTACCATCTCGTTTGCGGACAGGGCGACGGCGGCGTTGGTTTTGGAAATGCCAATTGAAGCATACAAATGGTCTATGTTGGTTACATTTGTGTTGCAGAAAAGACTGACACTGTTCGACCCGAAATTCCTTTAAGTACCTGGAAGACACAACGTTAAATAAATATGAAGCAAATTGTTGCAGTATATTGATAAGCACTTATAAGCACAATTTTTCAAATTAATTCATTTTATTTACGTGTAATGATTTGGTTTTTCTTGTTGTGTAGAAAGGAGCAATTTACTTGCTTCATTCGCCATTTTGTCACTTTTGAAATGCGCAAAGCGTAGAGAACAAAAATGAAGCGGACCAGAAATCACCGCAAATATGGCAATTAAATAATGTTGCCACGCTTTTCACTAATTACGTATTTCCAACAAAATTTAATTTTGGAGAGGTATTCAAAGTAACTTGAATATATAAAAAATAATAAGAATATCCTTTATAAAATTTAAATAATATAATTATTTATGTTTATTTGTTCAAATGCGTATTTTTGTACTTCCTGCATTAAACCACGTTTCAAACTGTTGTTTTATAATTATTTGAAGAGTTTTTAAATTTGTTGAACCACTGTAGCAGACAGTTGATAAGAACAGCTGTCAACAATGTTGGCCGGAAGCCACCCGTAAATGTTCTCTTAATTTTAAGGATACGTGATTAGTAATAATTTATTAATTAAAAATTAATAAAGTCGTGCTTAAGTGTGCATAACAATATGGCAGTTGCAATTCCAGATATTAATAAGCTTCCGAAGTGTGTAAAAGATATTACCAAATCCGATGAGTATATAAAATATTTGCCTGTAAGTTGTACATGAATATGTAAACAATACAAGAATTGATTATAATGACTTCTTAATTTTAGTCAATTTCAACGAAAGCAAAAACTAAAGATGAGGCTGAATGTTTACTTCAACATATTGTGGCTGTAATAGAGTTCGAAATTTTCTCAAAATCGCAAACAGATGAATTGAATGTAGCCAATCAGGTTGTTTTGAATACAGCTTATCGGGCGTATTTCCAATTAATACAACAACATAAACTGCCAAACATACATTTGAACGCTTTACCTAAGCCGAAATTATTGTATGACGAGGAGGTTGGCTTCCAGCTATTATATGCCATGCTATTAACTGATCAGCATGCGCAGACTTTCGATCCTGAGACCATACTTATGGATTGCACTAAAGCATTAAGTGACGCCATCAACGACGACTGCGCCAGCTTGCTATACATAATTAAAGTCTTGAATATATTATTGTGCAAATTTCCAAAGTGCAACGTAAATATACCCCTCCAGCAAATCTATTATTGCCTGCAAACCAACCAAAATGGCATGCGCGAAGAGTCGCTGAATCTTTTCTCGAATTGCTGTCGGCAAATTGATTATGCATTTGAAAATTTTCAAGTTATTTTAGAGTTTTGGCCTTGGTCAAACCGATTTAAATTCTATTTAATTAGTTGCATACTGAAAACGCACAATTTAATTGAATATTTGCGAAGTGCACACCATTCAGTGAGTGAATTTTTCGCTGGTGTACGTCTAAGTTTAAGTCATAAAAGTCTTTTAGCCGCTAGTCAATATTTAGTAAAAGCGTTAAGTGCACAAAACTCCGATGAGCTACTACAACTAAGTACTGATATACTCACAAGRGGTTCAGTTAAAGAAATCAAAAATTTTTACGCGCAATGGAATGGACGTATCGAGCAAAAGGATAGATTGTTCGAATTTTTGCAAAGCCAACCAGAAATAGTAAATTTCCTAGAAAACACCATCGATGGTTCCATTGAACAGGATTATTTTCGTTCAACCTTAATCTTTAGCATGTTTTCACGGCAAATATTCGAAGCTTCAAAGCTACACTTTTTTAAAATCAGCACAGAACTTATAACAAACTGTTTCCAACTCGAATTGGAAACACAAATGTTAATTTTCAAATTCATTGTTGACAATTTGGCTAGTTTTGCCATTGAGGATTGCTTGGAATTCACTGCTGCATTTATAAAGGAGCATAAATGTATAGAAAATGCTCAATACCGCAATGAAATTTTGGGTAAAATGCCAGCCATCGTTAATTATGTGTCAAAAACCTTTAGCAAATTGCATTATGCTGGTGGCATAACCACTCTTGAGACCAGTATACATACATTTTTCAAGCATATGCATCTTTTAATTGATGACGACATTGGTAGCAACATTTATCAACCGAAAATATTTTCGTTGCGTCTTTTAGAGATTTTACTGAAATCACTATACGCTGACAATTTGGAGAAGAATGCCAAAAATTGCTGCTTAACGCAAAATAAAAAACTTGGTAAATTTTTGGTTGAACAAAAAGTATTTGAATGTGGTAGCGTATCAGCAGCACTCTTTAAACTACTCGATGATCCTTTGGGATTTGATGATGCATTAGAATTGATAATGCGCTTACTGCAGCAAATCAATTTTTCCGAAGTGGGTGAAAGCGTGCGCTTATGCAAGGAATTTAGCCGCCGCTGCGGTGTAGACGAATGTGTTTTAAGCACACTTTATGCCAGAGTTACATTAAATTGCTGCAAAAGTACAGGCGATGAAGAAGCGATTTCCATTTTACTACAGTTCGCTATAACCTCTTTGAAGGAAGAACTGGAAGATTTTCAACAAGATCCGCTGCTTGTGTGCAAGACACGAAATCACTTATTTGGCTTTATCAATATAGTTGGAGAAGTTGTGCAAGGCAACATTTGCCTAAAAACGGAAACTCAGAATGAAATACTTGACCTTTTAGAAAAAGTACTGAATTTAGTTTTGGATTTACTGAATGTATGCAAAGCTGATCCCTTGCAAGCTGCTAGTAATGCTGCGAGCTTCCAAGACATGGAGGAGAGTTTGGAAATTTTGGTACAGAAAAGTGCCTACAAAGTCGAAGATCATGGAGAGTTTCGTAAAYTTTTACTTATGTCGTTTTGGCTTACACTGAAGGTAGTATACACTAAGAACTAGCGAAMCTTATTTTCAATAAATCGTTTATATTGTAGGCTACCTGTGATTTGGCCACAGAAATCGGTATGCGATATGTTGCAACAACTGAGCATGACTTCACTGATTGCCAGATATTGAAGCGTTGCTTGGATATAAATGTGACCGTGCTAACGCGTTGTAGACACAAAGGGGCCATCGAAGCAGCTGGCGTAAGTATAGGTTGGTATCTACTCATTACGAAAATGAAACAATGCTTTACGCTAAATTTTTTTTATTCGGCAGGCAAACTAACTAAAAGTATTACTTCCCATTGCACTACAAGTTCGGCGGTGTACCACTTATTATATAACTGCTTGGAGCTTTTGTTCGACAATACAAAGCAGGTGAGCGTTACACGTAGGGGTGCTGGTTACTCCATCATGATGCTGCATATCGTGAAGAATGAACAGCACCGTACCAGACCACTACTCAAGTCCGTAATGGATAGAACTATCGCGTTACTTAAGAATTATTGTGCAACCGACGCATCGCATGTCGAGAAATTCGATCGTTTGGAGGCATTACTACTGCACTACGTAGGCGTTTTAGTGCGCGATACAGAGTTGCGTGAGGCCACATCACATTATTACAATGAAATACTCTTAGTAACTTTGAAACGTATTGAGCATCCCGAATGGACGGAATTCAATGCAGCGTTGCAACTTTTTGGCGCACTGATACCGAAAATTGTTGGACAAACAATGGCCAAGGATTTTGATGCAGCGGCCGGTAATGAAAACAACGATATTACATATGACGAAATAATACGAAAACTGCCAACGGCCTGTGATTACATACTCAACTATTTTGCCAGCAAGCAAGACTTGAATACCGACACACGCACCACCGTTTTATTCCTGGGCTTCCTCTCCAAAGTTAAGCATTTACCCAAACAAATTGAGGCGAATGAATGCAGTTTCTTACAACGCATACGCGAGTTAATGTGGCGTCTATTGGCGCATCGTTGTGAAAGCGTGCGTAAATTGGCTGCGCTTTGTTTTGTACGCGCCCACGAYTTTAGACTAGAACTACCCCAAGCGTTAATAAGCATTTCCAATATACTCGGTAATGTAAGCAATGAGAATTTGTTTCTGGGTTTCATTGCTACGCTTGCAGAAGGCATACTGCGTATGCAACATGAAAGTTTGCACATTAACGATGGGGCTTACAAAGATTTTATGCAACGACTACGTTCATCTTTGGCTGACTTGAAACTCAAGAATAAATATGAACCATACTCAATAAGTAAACTGTTGGATATTTTCCTATTGGTTGGCTTTGATGCACAGGTGAGCATTGTGCAAGAATTGCTACATGCACCAACTGCGGACGAAGCTGCTATTGGCTATGATGTGTGGCAGCAGTGCGCTGGAAAGTTTATGTGCAAATCGTAAATCGAAATACCCACAATTATGATAATCAAAGAGTTCAGTAGTAATGTGCTAAACAGTTAAGAGGCTTTACATTTAGTTTGTTTATAATTTATTGTACAAATTTGACATTAATTAAGACTAAGTCGAAAAGATTTATTAGACAAAATATGTCAGTTTAAGGCAACACTTTAATTGAGAATATTTTATGTTACATAAACATTCGTATAAAAGTTTTCGATTGCCCATTGAAAAAAAAAATAATGCTAAAATTTTAAAAGAAACACCCGAATTACAAAATGATTACTATCTATACCCGCAACCATGGGAACCCATTAAGTTAAGTCTAAACGTAGAAATAACGATAAAGTGCTCTAAATTCCATTACTTTGTTCTTATCAACATAATGATATGAAGTCACATTAAAATTATTGTAACGCACAATTTTCTAAATTAAAATATAAAAAAAATAAGTGGCTTACTATTTGGCTTAAAAAATGGCAATCTTTTGTAAAAATAATTACACTGCTAATTTGATTCCCGGAGTAAAATATCACTAATACAAACAAAATAAGTTTCGATAATTATAAGCAACGTATATGTAGCTAGATATTCGTGAAGTCCGAAGCATATACAAAAGCTACAACTAAATCAGCTGAAACCTTCGTTATCCTGCTGCTTCTGTTTCTCTTGGACTTGCGTTTGGGACATCTGTTGCAGCGTGCGACTGAGAATGTTGCGCAGAATATGTGGCTTGCAGTATTCTTCTAACCACGGTATTACGCCGGTTGTCAGCTGCTTAAAGTTATCCATTGGTATATGCTGGAATGTTTCGAACATCTCGTCCATAATTGCCTGGAACTACATATAAACAAATTATTTTATTATTATAAATATTTTTTAGGATTAATTTTAAGTTTGTCTAAGAGGCAAGATTTTATTGACCAGTAAATGTGAGAACAAATTAGTTTTGGTAGATATTGATATTATTACATTAGAATATTTTATTTATAAATATATCATTTATATCACAATAGTTTCGTAAGTTGAATTTCTGAATGCTTCAGATACCGCACAACGATATTTTATCTATCTTAATTATTATAGAGACATTGCTTTATGGAAAAAAATAATAAAAACAATGCTTATTGCATATTGATATACTCATTCAAAATAATAACCTTCACTTATCACTTTAGAAATGTGTAGTGAATTTCAAGAGTAGTCAGATCTGATACATAATTAAGGAATGTTTTGGTCTGKTTCCACAAACTTCAAATAAAACAATATATACTTATATATATTAATACCTTTCACAAATAAAAGGTTTTCATACGAGGACTAGATTTAATTCATTGTAAATTTATTCGTCAAATAAAATGGTTTTCAATTCAAGGTGATTTTTATCCATGGAAGCTACTATGTCTATATTCGCCAGCTGCAATTCCATAAAATAAGCAGTTTATTGGGGAGAAATRGACGTGTGCAAATATGTAGATCGATATATCAAAATGTGAGGAACTAGTTTGCCTACAAACAGACAGGCGGACATGTCTAAAGCCGCTCAACTCGACCTGCTGATCATTTATATATATTTTTTGGGTCGCTGATGTTAGAAATTTCGTAACAAAATTAATATACAAATTTCGGGGTATAAAAATACTGACTTACAATATAACACCGAAACCAGTATATTGTATTATATAATCCATGATAAATGTATAAAATACATATTGCAGCTTAAAGCTTTTATATTATGTTAATATATATTAATATTATAAACACATTTCAATTCATACTGACCACTTGAAATTTTGCCTCGTCGGTTAGACGTGCTTCTTCGGGCCCAGGATTTGCTTGCTGATGCTGCAACATATGCTCATAACTGTGCTGTATTATGCGTAAAGCTGCAACTTCTTTTTGCAATGCAGCACTTTCCTCTTCTTGCTTTTTCTTTTGTAAGTTTAAGTAACCTATATAGTCAATTGATTTTTGCAGTATGAGCGCTTTACTTAATTTGTAACCTGATGCTGAATCATTTTGTTGACATGTAGGCACTAGTTCTTGCAGGCTATCATAACCTTTCTTGATAGCATCACGTCGTTTTTGTTCAGCTTGCGTGTGCGCTTCGCGACGCCTTTCTTTGTAGCTTAAGGTTGACGATGAAGCCAGCGCAGAGCTACTACGTCCATCACCACTGTCATCGTCCTCATCTAATTAACCAAAGTTTTATAAAAAGAGAATTGCATTTATCTTTCCGTAATACATACCTGTGTTGTGAGCTGATGAATTTGGTGTATGTGTGCTATCATCTCGACTCTCTTGCGTATTTTGGTCCGCATCGTGGTCCATTGTCATGGAGTAGTCGTCTTTCGATCGCGTATTATTACCTGTTAGTATTTCGTGTATTGAGCTAAATATATACAAGTCATATAAATTTACCAAATTCGGTTTGTGCGGAGCCACGATTTTCCGCCATCATTAAAATGTACTTTTAAATTCGTGTTATATGATATCAGTGCTGCTACAAAATCATCAGCTATCAAATTATCAGAACATATGTAAATTCACGTAAGAGAGTATACAAAATKAATACAAGTTATCAAAGTGTCACAGGAATATGTAAAAGACCTGTTCGATTAAATGCTCAGAGTTGTCGGACTTTCAAGTGGATATCTGTCATAAAYTACATTTGATTAACAAATATGACCTTTTCTTGAAATCGTTGTCAATAGTTATTATTAATAATACCAGAAAATATGAAATTTTTTTTATTGATTTAAAATACTACTTAATAATTTTAATATGGAAGTTTAAAAAAATAACTGTAACATCTTAATACTTTGTATTAAATAATTAAATTTTGTTTGTTGCACAGTGTATAATTTATAAAGGTGTACCACTAATTTGGGCGATAAGGTAACATTGCACTTGAAATTGCCTTCGTGTCGCTGGCCGAATAATTTTGCAGAGTAGGTTAACTCAAAGTGATTTTGTATTTTGTTAATTTAGTTACTAGTCGTTCAACTAAAAGAGTTATTTAAAGAATTTTGATTTAGAAGATTCATACACTTGCATATAAAATAGGAAAATCAAAATGGGTCTGTTACACGCCATTGGTATTAGGGTAATGAATTTTATGGTGTTTTTCCTAATTGTAATTTTATTGCCGGGTCTGCCACCGCGTACCACTTTTCCATTCAAAGCTTTTGTGTAAGTCCAAAGTTCTGTCCTTTGTTGGAAAAACATGTCAAATTAATAGTATTTCTTCACAGTGTGACACCTGCTAAAGATTTGAAAGGAGCCTTAGAGCCTAATCAGCACCTAGATGGTGCCGAACGCCTACTCGAAGGGCGTGTCTATGGCCCAGAATGTCTCATTGCACGTAAAAATGAGGTATACACCGGCATACATGGTGGTGAGATAATTAAAYTAACTGCCGATCATGTTACACACGTCGCAAAAATTGGACAACCTTGTGGTATGTTGTTTTCGGTTTGGAAAAAATTACTATAAAATTCTACGAACACTTGTTAATTTTTCCAGAAGAAATATTTGAAGAAGCTCGTTGCGGAAGACCTTTGGGCCTTGCCTTTGATACGCAGGGTAATAACTTGATTGTGGCGGACGCATACTACGGCATTTGGCAGATAGATCTTAATACAAATCAAAAGAAATTGCTGGTGTCGCCTCAACAAGAACAACCTGGTAAAGATATTCCACGTGAAGCTAAAATTTTCAACACGGTTGCAGTAGATCAGAAAGGTGACATTTATTGGACRGATTCGGAATCAGATTTTGTGTTGCTCGATTTGGTATTTGGCTCTTTGGCAAACCCCTCTGGTCGGTAAGTAAACTTTCAACTCTAAATGACCTAGTGTGAAGAAAGTTTCTAAAATAATTTATGCATAAATTAACAACAATATTGTGTGTGTTAATGGAAACTGGTTTTTTCTTACGTGTGTGTGTTTAATTTTTAGTAGTGTGGTCTCACATTGGACTGTTGCCAGCTTGCACGCACGTTTCAACTGTTCCTTAAATAACAATCACATCACGCTTTTGACTACGTCATAGACTTTAAAAAATACTTGCTAAGTATATATTTTTTGTGACTATGCTTGTAAATCGCATCTTTGTAGCATATATCACAACATTCATAATGCTTAAGCAACAAATTTAAAAAAAAAAAATTTCAAACGCTTTGTTGTAGTATAAGACCATTGTGTTTAACAGCCTTCAACCTGCTTTTTTATTATTGACTCAGCAACATATTATTCATTGAAGAGCGATTTTCTTTACCATAAAAATGTTGTTTTCAGYTAAATGCTTTTAAGAATTCATATATATGTATGGAAAAACTCTCACACTGTAAACCTATGCGTGTGTGTACGTACATATGCGTTTATAAACAYATATACATATATATATGTTTGCTGTTAATACACTGAACAGCGTATTTAAAATTTTCTCGTTTAAAAAACTTTCTTATTTGACGGAAACAATTCTTTTTGCTATTGCTGATTTCTTGATTAAATTGACCGCTTATGTTTTACCAACTGTGATAGAAAAGGAGGTGAATTGWATAGAAAGTAATATTTTAAACTTACACTTACGATTATAAGTAATAAACCACTTTCTTTAAAATATGTAATTAATTTTGTTACCTAAAATCTTGATTTTTTCAGACTCTTCAAATATGATCGTGCTACCAATGTTAGCAAAGTATTGCTGGACGAATTATTTTTTGCTAATGGTTTGGCTCTAAGTCCCGATGAAGACTTCATTGTTGTCGCAGAAACCGGAGCGATGCGTTTGACTAAGTACTATTTAAAGGGCACCAAAGCCGGTCAGAGTGAAGTCTTTGTAGAGGGTTTGCCTGGTTTGCCCGACAATTTGACACCTGATGCTGAAGGCATATGGGTACCGCTCGTAATGGCAGCAGATAGCGAACATCCAAACGCTTTTAATATGTTCACCAACTTCCCCAGCATACGTTTATTCCTGGCACGTCTGCTTAGTCTCTTCGAATTGCCCTTCCGTCTAATTAACAACGCCTTCCCCAATAAGCTGGCCCAAAGGTTTATTCACTTCATCGGCCATGGCGAGAGTATGATGCTCTTGTCACCCAAACGTTCAACCATTGTGAGAGTAGATTGGAACGGTAATATTGTGGGTTCGTTACATGGTACCGATAAGTCGTCGGGCGCTGTTTCGCATGTATTGGAATTTAACGATTACTTGTACYTGGGTTCGCCGTACAATCGCTTTTTGGCGCGTGTGAAATCACCGAGAGCCGCTCGCCAGCCGGAGGTGAAAGTGCGGAATGTCAGGTATGAAGGGGTTAATTTAGAAGCGTCTGTTAAGCCATCAACTGCATCTACTACCACTACTAGCAAGCCAAAGCCTGCCGCTACTAAACCACTAACTACGACTGCGCCAMCGACAACAACAACAAGCCCGACGACGACAACAACTACTACACCACGACCAACTACAACCACACMTAAACCGACCACGACAACTACAACAAGACCACCCACTACAACAAGAACAACAACGACAACTAGAAAACCATCCACAACTACAACAGCACGACCACCAAAAACGACGACGACCGCCAAACCCAAAGTTACCGTCACCACCACAACAACTACAACACCAAAACCAACWACAGCTCCACCAAAAGCATCACCGGCCACACCGAAMGCAAAATCAAGCACCACAACAGCACGTCCTGCTGCCGAGCAGAAACGTGTGCCTCCAAAGGAGCCAGCACCGATTAAGGAGGAAATACCAGACGACACGAAACCACCCAAATTCGACAAGCTTAAAGTGATCACCAAAACCGGCGAACATCTCGAAYTTTAAAGCTGCTAACTAACAAGCTAACTGCAAACATACATACCTATATAGCATTATTACTTTCCTATGTTATCCGAGGTGTCGTTCBAACATAACCTAATAACAACATAAACATAAGCGGCATGTAACAAGAGCGCATGCAACGCTACGAATTTCATGTTAAAATGCAACATAGCAATAATCTAGTAAATACCTTCGATATATTAGGAGGATTTGTCGGAAATAGGCTGTGTACTGTTCCGACGGTACAGTTTTTGAGATATTATTGCGGCATATTTTATACAGTTACAAGAAACAAACGAAATTAGTGCTTCAACGAATACATTCCAATTTACATTCCAACTGATATGAATATCGTTTACGTGCATTTTTGCATTTATTAATATTTTACTCRCTTGATGCTTACATACCGCGAATTTACGGTTTCTAGGAAAAGGTACCTCGTACTAAATTCGTTTGAAAGTTGTAAAAATGCCTTTAATGGAGACTTTCCCTTGGTTAGCTTAAATAGTTCTAAATTGGAGCTTAAATAGGTAGCTATAAGTGTGAAACTAGTGCGGATCTCTTTAAACAAATGTATTAACGAATTACTGCTCAAACAAGAATTTTTGAATGTCCGCTAAGATTTACTATATTTTTTTACTTTACATCGATTATACTAGTTTGGTGTTTGCACAAAGTTTATAAAAAAAACGAATTTTATAAAATAATTTATAAAAACTTTGTTTGGTCATGGTAAATAATCTATTTAAAGTAATAAATAAATCACGGTAGTAATTTTATGTATACTTTTCCTTACCTTTGACTGTTATACATACATAATGAAATAAATGCCCTGTACTGATTTTGAATTATTTTGTAATTTATTTAATAAGCGCTTGACTTATTTTTCTCATTTCAGTTTTACATTCATAAATAATTCTTTAAAATTAAATAAAGCTTAAAGTGTTTCTCCACAAACTTTTAAAGCTGGCAGTTTTCACTCTCTCTTATTTATTTATTTATATTTTTAACAGTACAAACTAAAACAGCCACAAATTTCTTAAAGCAAATTTTCAGTCGTAGGCTATAAATAATTGCATATACATATATGTACATATGTACGTATACAAATTATAAATTTACATAGTTTTTTTTTTGTTAACAATTACTGAGGTTTGTTGCCAAATTAAAATCTTATCAACAAACCCACCTACATAACTACATATTGTGCACTTAATTACGGTAGCGCACTCCATTAAACATAAGTACTACACATTAAAGATATAAACGTACGTACATAYATATATGTAAGTATATACATACTCATGTACATATCCGTATGGTTTTGCGTTCAAGCATGTCTGCTTGTGCGCGTTAAAATCACGTTTCTATTATCGTTTCGGTTATTTGCTGTGCAAATCACACTCATTCCATTGAGGCTTCACGTGCTTTTCGCGCTTCTCGGACGGCTTGGCGGTTCAGCGGGGTCGGTCCAATGCCAATCAGTGTACATGACACATTTACTTTGCGAGTCCATATATAGATGCGATTGTGGACAGCGTTGTAGTTTAGCGGGACGCCCTTGTTCCTCACATGTCCAATATTTTGTAGGGTCCCAGAAGTGACGGAACATGGCGTTAACCTCGTGCAATGTGTCGCAGCCGGGTTCGCCATCATAATCGGCAGTATTTTCATGTGTTGATTTCTTCACTGTTGCCATTGTGTACTTTTCCAGCCACACAGCTGTGCGATCAGGTGAGTAATAAGTGGGTGTTCTTGTCTAATATCTGCTAATTATTTGCACACTTATGTGTGTGTGTGCCTTTATTTGTTTTTTTTTTTTTTTGTTTTTTGCTTTTGGTTTCAGGTTATCCAATCGCTGTTGAGCGCGCTGAAATATTGTTCACTTCAATCTCTAACGGCGTTGCTGTAATGGAAATGTTAAAAATAGTTTTATTCAAGTGTTATGTACATTATATAGACAGCTTTTGTTGTTATTGCTTTTAGCTTTAAGTGAATAAAATTTTATGTTAGTGTAAATAAGTTGTTAATAAAAGTCATGTGTTAGTTCAAATTGTAGCTATTTGTTGTTTTTTAACTGCTTGCATGTATGGTTTGCATAAACGTGTCTATTGTTGTTGTAGCAATTACGCAAAAATCTGTGTGGTGTTATGAAATTGGCGGTTGTCATCGAGGTTATCTCAGTTTTCAAAAAATAATTTTTTTTTGTATTTGCGTTAAGTGTAATATCTTAAAAATATTCTCTGAAAATTTCACGTTGATCCGATAATTAGTTTTTGAGTTATTCGACAAATAACAAAGAGAGCTCGGGCACTTCAAAGCGCTGGTGTGAAACTTTAAACGCGTTTTTCTCAAAACATTTTTTTTTGAACTGGTGACAACTGTAACTCGAACACCGCTCAGTAGATTTTAATGAAATTTATACAGCTTTTAG